GAAAGTCATACCACAACTTTAGGTGAAACCTTGTGACTTTTAAAGCTGTATCCCAAAGGCTTTAGGTGTAGTTGGGCATTGAACGCATCACAAGAGCAAAGGTAAACTTGTAAAAATCTGTAATATGCAGCTAGGTCCATAAATGTTTGGACAGCGACGCAGTTTTTTGTAGTTTAGCCTCTGCACACCACCTCTTGACTTAAAATCAAGATGTGATTAAGGTCAAGGCTTCCAGCTTCTATTCAAGGGGTTTAATAAATAACTGTTCAGTGGTTGGTGTCAATCATTGTACAGGTGAAACCAAGATGAATTTGTACTACAGTGTGCAGGGAGGGAAAAGTATGGAGAAGGAGATAAACGTGCCTCATTATCTGTCAATCAGGGTGGAGGCAATGTTATGGCATGGTCATGTATGCTTGCCAGAGGAACCGGGTCACTAGTGTTTACTGATGATATGACTGCTGATAAAAGTAGCAGGATGATATACTGTGTGCTCCGATTCGGCACAAATGCTGCAAAACTGATCAGAAAGTTATTTACAGTGCAGAAAATCATCGAAAGCAGCGAGTCAGAGACACTGAATATTTTTCAATGATTCTAGATGTCAGAAAGTCACTGACTGCAAAGGATTTTCATCCAAGTATTAAAAACAATCATTTTATTTCAAATTATGTTGATCCAACAAGCTTTTAGCTCCTGTATAATATCTGTAATTGTTAAATAGTTCCTTGATTGCTTGATTTTAAATCCACTGTGGAGGCACACAGAGCTAAAACTGCAAAATACCGTGTTGTTGTTCAAATGCTTTTTGACCATCACTGTATGTGCTAACAGAAAATATGCAGGTCAGCTGTTATCATACAGGTATCCCATGAGATATGCTTTTATTCCATCTTATGTTAGCCTTTTATATTTCAACCCTAGTGTCCTCAAAAGCGAATACACACAATCCTGCACCTTCGAGGCTCTTTCAGAGAAATGTTTATTACTTTATCAGTTTGAACTGTACGACCTTCTTTTGGTGTCTGACTTTTTATATGCCTCATTTAGATAAATGAGACAAATGCCATAAACGGCTCTCTATATGGAGTATAGCGGTTCAGCACCACAAGCCACATGTAACAATAACCATCGCTCAGGTGAATCAGTAAAGTTTAACAGAAAATGAAGATTTATTGTGTGTACCTAATGCACTTTTTAGTCTGCTATAAATATACATTTACAGCAATTTATGGTATTTTTGTACACAAATATATTGAGTCGGTAAAAATTAAAAAGAAGAACATAAGACATAAGATGTATACACTCACCAGCCTCTTTATTAGGTACACCTGTCCAACTGCTGGTCAACACAAATATGTGATTAGCCCACATGCATTTTGCCATGTAGGCATGGTCTCTGCTCATGAACTAATTTTCAGAATGAGGACGAACGGTGATTTGAGTGCCAGGTGAGCTGGTCTGAGTATTTTAGAAAGTACTGGTTTGCTGGGAATTTTCTGTAGGGTTTACGACAATGGCCTGAAAAAGACCAAAGCCCAATCTCTTGTTCCAGAGGATGGTTATTTGTTTTGGTAGCTCTAATTTCTGTGCTTTCATAGTTTTGTAACCATCACTGAGGTGATTTGTATTTAACTCCAACTCTATTGGTCTAAGTTGGGGAGGTTTAGCCTTCTGTAATGGCTAGGTGTTATAAGTCTCCATCTGTACTCCGGTATAATGGTATGGCATGAACTATGGAAAAATTGAATTTCCAGCATTCCCTATTTTGATCCTGTGAAATTATTATATGGAGATATTTTTTTTGAACTTTCCTTTATAAAAACTGTTAAGTTTACTCCATTGAAAGTGGAATTTCAGACGAAGCTGAAATGTGGAAACCAACTCAAAAGGCTGCGTCTTCATAAATTAGGATCTGATACAACATAATGATAAGATTAAGCCCCTGTTACCCTTCCAGTAAAGCTGAGACAAGTCCCCTCTGTTCCACTCGAGTATCGACTCAAACTGGTCAAACTGGAGTGGCACTGGTGAGTAATTGAATGTACCAGATTTAACAACTTTTCCCCTGTGCCATGTTTGTACAAACCATCCATATGTTCAGGAAGTCACGAGGCACAGCAGTGAGTCAGATACCAGATTTTCATCCAAATTAGCAGTTAGTGTAATTAAACTCCAGTTAGGGAGGGATAGGAGGCTTCCGAGGCTGCGTGGCGCGTCGCTGATTCCCCTAAATTATTCCTTATGCTCGGTTATGAATAAATTCTCGAAAGGTATTTCTGGCACAGTCATTATTAGAATTAATTGCAAAACGGTGTGAGTAGTTTCGGGTGTGCAAAAGATGCAGATAGGAAACAGTTTGTCTCTGGCATTAATGAGGAGGCTCCACCTGGCGTGTTTAAACAGCTGGCAGGGGTAATATTGCTGTTTACTGGGCGACAGCTGGAATCTCCATGGCTCTCGATTCATAATCATGATTTGGCTGCATATAATTGATCAACAATTTATATGCAGACTGGGTGGAAAGTTGGACTTTCTGAACTTATACATTCCAGATCAGAATTTTTCCACTGATTATATATTTAAAGTTGCATCTGCAGTTTAAAGTTTGGTCTTTAAATAAAAAAACAATATTGCTAACAATTGCTTTGTATATGAATGAATGAATGTGCGTTTCGTTTTGTCTCTCAGAACACGTTTTTTGGCCGGTTCAGGCACTTCTTGGACGTGATTGACCCCAGCACGCTCTTTGTGACAGAGGTAAACAAACCTTTGGATTTGTTACACGGATCACATGCGTCCTATCGGGGCTGCTTATTTACCAAGTTAGCCACAGTATCACAATATCTGCATACAAATGACATTAAACTCCATCAGATGATCTGTGATGGTGATCTTTAGAGAAGTCAGGTTTTATATAACTGCAGTGGTTTCCTAGCTGGGCTAAAACGGCAGCACAATAATCTTGTGGGATTCAACATTAGCCAAAATTTACTGAAGGAGGTGTTGAATTAAAGGAAGAAAACCTCAAAGGTATACTTAAAATGAAGGATTCTCAGCTACTGCCAGCAAATGTGCCACCTTTAGGTTACAGGATATTCTCTGTAAATGTTGGGCTGCTCTGCTCATTGCAACATTTCCACAGTTCTTGGTTGTGTTGTGGTAATTTTGCTCATGGAGCCATCACAGCTCTAGTGCTCTGGGTAATGAAGCTGTTAGTGGGTTCTTTGGTGACACTAATAGCTGCAGTACCTCCCGGGATGTGATGAGGTGTGGACATATGGGGCTGCTGGGAGGGGTGGAAAGTGCATATGCTTAGACACTCACCCACACCCACACTGATACACATGACACCTTGCTGGGCCAGGCATCGCCTCAACTTGCCCCTAATGCAGACAGTGGAACAGGGACAGCCCTGATTTGCCTTCGGTCGCACGCACACATGACCTCCTGTGCATACAGTAAAACAAAAAAAAGTGCACGGCTAACACTGACACGCACAATTACAGAAACGTGAACACACATACACACACAGATGGTGAGCTCATTAGAACAAATTGGTCCTCATGACCTTGTATTTTCCTCCATATTAGACAATGATCACACCACAGTAAGCTCCTCATTACCTTTTAGGGAACTCATTTGTCACATGAAAATCAGCACGGAGGTTTTAGTAAAACATAATTATCACACATTGAGGCCTAGACTTAAATAGCAGGAGGGCAAATACACATCTAAGCTGACATGGAGGCGAGAGTGGCCAGACTTGGTTTCATATTTTATTGACTTTCATGTTCCGTCACATCAGAAACGGCTGCGGGAGTGCGTCGAGCTGCTTGACCATTTCAAGCAAGGAACTCTGCCTCTGGGAGTGACGGATGCTCAGGTAAATATGCATCAGTTTGAGTTGAAAACTCACATCAACATCAGTTTGTGAGAATTCAGCATCTGAAAGATGCTGCAAACCTTTCTGAAAAGCCTCTTCTGTGCAGTCTGACATGTGTCTCCTGCCCTTGAGTGGATTATCTGTGCACTGCAGGCACTAACCGGCCTTTGAATGCTAAATCAAAAATAGCTGCTTTAATGTTTGTGCCAGGGAAATATTTATGATATGAACGAGGTTTATATTGTTGCAACATTTTAATAATTCGTTTTTATTTACACTGTTGAAGCAACGTATTCGTTATTTGTTGTACAGTAATTTCTCTGTGAAGCAGACTCTGTGAATATACTTAACCATGTATTTTATCTAAGGAGGTATTTACAATCAATATTTTTAATTGTTTAAATGTTCAGATGAAATATTTAAATTTGAAATATCTGTTCTTTTCAAGTCTACTGCTTTTGCAATAGCTGATGTACTACAAACAATTTTAATTGTAAAAATAAACCAAATTTAGTCATTTTAATTCATTTAATTTCAACAATATTATTAACCGTACAGTCCTGTTAGTAATTGCAAAATATAATAATTGAAATTTCATCATTTTTAATGTCATTTTTTATTTAATTTTCTTTTACATATTAAATTTGTAAACTATATTGCAGACAGACAAACTATCCCAATTAAACGCAGAAGCATTGAAAGACTTTCTACTTTTTCTTATTTATTTTATTTTACAGCTTTGGCAAGCCCAGAAAATAAAGCAGGTAAGATTTCTCTGTTTTTGCTTACTTTGTCTATTAAGAGAAGCAGATTAAATACGATCCATCTCTATATAATGTCATTATTGAGTTCGATCTAAGTGAAACACTCCAAAAAAAAGTAACGTCATTCGAAGCGGGTAAGGTCTGACCGGTGTTACGTGCTTATACCGAAAATATACCAAAGAGTGTACAAAAACAACATTAAAAAAAGGCTTCCATGTTGAAGTAACTACATTAAAATTAGACACTGAAGCAGGCGAGCGGTTTTACCTCCAGTGTTAATTAGCTGGAAGTGCCAGCTCTGCAAGACGGCTGACAGTCGTTGAACTACAGGTGCAGCCGGTTAAAGTGGGAGAAAATTATTTAAAGTTTTAATATCTATTTACAAACTGCCAACGTCCAACACTGCCAGAGATTTATATGTTTGATATTTATGCCTCACCTAAATAAAACTTAATTAATGTAATGAATTGATGAATTATTTAATGAATGTATTTTTAAGTGCAATGTCAGCACTGTGAAATTAGTTTTGTACTTTGTTTGGCATTTCTTTAATTTAGATGCTGTTTAAATCCTATGACTTACCACGTCCACCTTATCTATTTAAAATGTGCATTTTCATTGGAAAATTAAAAATGAAAAGCCGTCACATCTCAGTTTTTGCTCATATTGAACTCGACACTAAAATGTGTATTTAGGATCTAATCAAACACTCTAAATACAGATGAACCAAAAGTATCCTCTCATCTTTAGAACTAATTTTCAAAACCACGGATGGGATGCAGTGGACTTTACATTAAAGTATGTATTTTGTCGACATAAACTTGTCTTTGGGTCAGGTTTAATGTGTGTATAAAGGGCTGTTAAGACAAATCTTAAGTAAGTAACTCTTCTTCTATCATTATGGTTGCTATTGCTTCCATTTCATGTGTAGGATATGCAGTTCAGTCTACACAAACAATTTCACACTCTGCAGGAATGAAACCAAATCTGACTCAAACTGGGCTCCATATGAACACTGAAGGCTGGCTTACGTCCAGGTTTGTTTTTGTATGAGAACATCCAACAGTTGGTGCTCTTGCAGGGTTTCAGGGTTGTCAACTGCCAAAACTCCCCAAAACCGACCTATCCTTCAGCATGGTGCTTTCCTTATTTATGTGCTTCTAAGGTTTATACTCTTTCTGAGTGTTAAAGACCTAGAACTCTTTGTGTAGTTTGTTAGATCATTATAGTTTAAACTAGTCTCCAGATTTTTCTTACTGCATCCCAAGTTCATTCAAGACTAAGAGGAAAATCTATATTCAGCCATGATAGTGGTATATCTATCATATGTACCTACGAGGTCTTTTACAAGCTGAAGCTTGGCTCCATGAGCCTGAGGAAGCAGTGTAATCGCTTTCGTTCTTTTCCAATCTGCAGATTTGATCACTGTTAAGGCAGTGGGGGAAAGACACATCATCTGTCTTATCTACTTGTGGGAATAGCAAACTGACGGGATAATGTCTGGTGTACTTGCTTGAATATTTGTGTAGAATTGACAAAAAACATCCCACAATCCTTCTAAAATCATTTAAAAGTAAATGGGCTTTCTAAAGTTAGTCTCCTATTTGTCTAGAAATACATGCCATAATTCATTTTGGCTGCTTTTTTCTCTTTATGTCATCCAAGATTCACTCAGTGACACTGGAATCATGGCTCTATGGTGGCCTTACCTAATGTTGCCGGTCCTTCCTGTGGTTTTTTATCACTTTGACGGTCTGGTTAAGTTGTTGTAATGTTGTAGAATGCATCTGAAACTGATCAAATGCTTTCTTGTGTGGTAGATGAGAAGGTAAACCTTGAAAATGCCTCGTACCTTAGTCTAGCTGAATAGACTGCTGTTAAAATTTGCTCCCTGTTTCGGGGGAGTTAATTAAGCCATTGGATGTGGTTGCAACCAGTTCGTACATTCAGCTGACAGTGTGTGCAGGCAGTCTGCAGGATAAATTTCATTCACTAGACATCGCTTAACTGTCCATGAAAACTGCCTGGTTCAACTTTACTTTGTGTTTTAATATAAATTAGAAGATGATAGCATGCTAGCATGCTAAAAACGATAGCTCTCGCTACCCAAACCATAACAGAAATTAGATTTGTTGTACATATTGTGTTAAGTGTTAGGGTTTGGTTTCTACGGCACCCCACAATTGGTAATGACACTGGTGTTTGTACTTTTATGCATCAGCGTATTGTTATTCCAAGTATTTTACATTAGCATTAGCATGTTTAGCTTCTTAAAGGGAGCTTTTTCTGTGGTGAATACCTTTGGCTTGCTTCAAAGCGTTATCATACTGTATCCGACAACTCAGTCACTATTTTTCTTTTACTTGTGAAGATAAACAACTTTTGTTGAATTACTTTTCGTTTTAGCAAACATGTCAAACTGTTATATTTGTCAAAGAAGTAAGGTTATTTTTCAAAAGCTCCCCAAGTGCAATGCATTGTTCCTCAAATATAATTGAGTGATGTAAATAGATAAGTAGATTAGCAATAACTGGTTAATCTATTGATTTGAAACCATTTTTTCAGTGGTTTTTATATATTCAAGTTAATATTAAATACCCTGAGCAGTAACTTTCTTTTAGTTATTTTCACAGCAGTACTCTCTTTATAAGTCATATGAACTGACTTAACCCAAATCATTCGGTTCTCATTACTGTCTGATTGTTATCATTATGCACTTATTACAGGCCATCATCCACCCCGACACAGGGGAGAAGATCCTCATGCCTTTTCGGATGTCAGGTAGCGTATCTAAGAGTGGAAACTTTGGAGTGGAGGGGAATCTCGGGGCTTTTAAGTGGTCCAATACGGAGGCGTCTTCACCTTAGAGACTGTCATGGCTCAACAGGGCTCTTCAGGTTGTCTCAGGCCTGGAAAAGGTCACGCTCAGCTGGGTGCTGATTAAAACCTCTCTGCTGTGCTGACAGAGATCTACTTGGGGTTTGTGAAGAAGCAAATGTTGGCCTTTGGTTCAGTTTGAAAGCACCCTTTTTTGTAGGATGACTGTAGTGGAAGTGAGAACAAAGAAAAGAAGGAAAGGACAGAAGCAGTTAACATGTTAGGACCAACATACCACATGAATGTCAGACCAATAGGAACTGGCCTCATGATCCAAAGTTAGAAAGAAGAGAACAGTGTTTTTTGAAGGGCTTGGACATTTCTGCACAAAAGAATAGATTTATAGTAAATCTGAGAAAAAGGGTAGAGGCGAAATTGTAAGAGTGGTAATACTGATCATCTTTTACCAGGTTTTATCCCGTTTGGCACACCAGTGGTAAGAGTGGTTTTCATAAACTCTGTTTTTCCAAAGCACGCACTCATACAGTACCAATGCTACAAATAATAATAATTTATTGATTTTCCTTTATGAAATTTTCCTTTCTTTCTTTCTTTCTTTCTTTCTTTCTTTGCAGGTTGTTGGCCTCCTTCTCCCTAATCAAACACTCGCGTCTACCGTCTTCTGGCAGGTATTTCTTCGAAATTCATCTCTGTCGTAGTACAAGTTTGGTTTTCTGAATTACTTCACTTTGTAAAGATGGCATATATGCTGTAGGTAGTGCCTCAAGAAAAACAACGAATGAGCAAGTGTTGACTATTTATGTGACAATATATTACCATCCATTATTATAAATCATTGCATCCATCATGATTTGCCATGTTAGTGATTTTGTTTTGATAAAACTAAGAATGATCAGTTGTAAAGCTGTGGGATTAATGGAAAATGCTTTAAAAAAAGCAGAAACAATAATGAATAGAATAAATTAAGAATTAATTATAAGAAATCCGGGTGGTGTGAGACAGAGGCTGCCACTGTTTAAATAACGGAGTCTCTTCTGTCACTGATTCTGCTCGTATGCTTGATAGAGCCAGTGGCTGAGCCTGTAGGTTAAGATGCTTCTTTTAGCTGATTTTAAATGCACAGGAGAATCACCTTGAATGAAACTTATTATTATTGCAGTTTATTACATCTTGCTATACTTTTCACTTTCCTCTCCTTTGTATGGCAGTGGTTGAACCAAAGTCACAATGCCTGTGTTAACTACAGCAACCGCAATGCCTCCAAGGTACTGTACCTGCATGGTATCCCAGCTGGCCCATTACTACACACATTACAAATGGCTTTTTTTTGTTGCTCAGCTAAAGTGCTTTTATAATGTTGTCTCCTCTTGTTTTCTGCCACTTTAGCCAGCTCCAGCTTCCAAGTTCCTGCAGGGATACCTTGGGGCGGTTACCAGTGCAGTGTCCATTGCTGTAAGTCCTAGCAAATCTTGTGTTGACTTGTGTTGACTGATAAAGGAAAAACCAAAAAAGTAAAGCCTTCAACCTTGGCATGAGTGTTGATGTTGCATAGTTTTTCTACCAAAACAGTGCAACTTCCCTGCTGGCAACAAATGTTTGGAACACCACAAACCCAACAACCAGCTGATCCAAGTAATGTAAATGAGAAATCCATGATTTGTTGTGGACTGAAGACTCATTAACAACTATTTGCGGGATCTGTGTATGTGCTGTGTCTGAAACAAATCTATGATTATATCGGCCATTATAAAGGACTTTGAAAATCACCAAATAGTAGTATTAGTCTCATTCAACATCTAAGGATCCATCAGGTTAACTGATAATTCACTGAAACTAGGAACAATGTATAGAAGCAGGTCTTTGTAATCCCTTCATTACCCACAGATGGGAAAAAAATATCCAATCAGACTTTTTTTTTTGCAGATTATTTATTAATTTGTCTGTTACATACACTAAACGAAGGGTTCCTGTAACCACCTTGATAACCAGAAGAAAATATTGGTAATCTGGGCTTCTGTGCAGTTTCAGCATGTGGTCGTTCACCGCATTACTTCTTAAGTTAAACACCAAATATCCAAAATGGCAAAAATTCAAATAAGGTGGATATCAACATAACTATAAAAAAGCAGACTTCGTAATATCCCAATCACTTGAACCTCTCTTCTTACCTCTATGTCATCACAGAATAAAATGTCATAGGGGCGTAATACCCGTTCACACACCTGCCTGACACAACCCTTAGTGTGGACAAGGAGCTCCAACCAAGCCAATTACTGGTCCTGCTGGGTGTTCATCCGGCTGATGCCCTCAGGCTTGACAATGGCAGCAAGCACAGAAAGAAATTGCGGGGTGTCTGGAGTTTGGTACGACATCCCTGGAGGGGGGCAGGCACGCTCCAATTAAACGTCCGCTCTGGTGACGACCCCCCGCAGGGCTAGAGGGAGCTGGAGGATGAAGTGGCGTGGTGGTGTGTTATTTGAGCGCATATTGCCTTTTGAATGCACCAATCTGAAATGTTAAAACACTGCAAAGTTACGTCCATCAAATGTTTAAACACATTGCCCATAATTTTAGTCCACTTTCTCCCAGTGATCCTTTTTCTGATGCTTGTATGTTTAAGCCTGGTGGTGGCTGTTCTCGTGCTCTTCTCATCCCCTTTGTAAGAAAGAGCTCTGAATTCCAAATTTTCTGTGCTGCCTTTT